TCTACATACATTGTAGTGACATTGTCTGATAGCTTGTTTGAAGGAATTGGTCCCGTTAATTTGTTCCAACCCAAATCTCTAAAATTCAGATAACAAGTTAAGAAAAAAAGGTCAATAATTGTACATGTAAAAGACCACATTGCGTGTTGAAAGAATAAGCAAAGCAGAAGAACCAAGCTGGAACTTACATAAAACTAAGATATGGCATCCGGCTAAGATCAGGAACTGCTCCACCCAAGCTACAGTTTCTCAGACTTCTGTTGATTAATAAACAGAACAAATTTCTAGAGTCAAGCTCTCAAAGTAAAATGCAGATGGTTGGTTCATCTCTTCTTTGATTTTAAGCACTTTTAAAGTGTAAGAAGAAAGCCAAATATAGGTGAAATTTCATTAATGTGCTAAGAATTATAGAAAACACAATTTATCTTTGTTAAGCGGAATAAAAAATTACTAACATGTAAGTCTTGTGGGATACTCCACTCTTTGCCATAGGATGGAGCCCCATGCAGGATTTTATGTGTAGGATTATTGAAGACTTTGTAAGCTTCACTTAGACTTCACAGAAGAAAAAAGGAATGAAACAATGAAAGCAGTAGGCTTTCATTAACTCATCAAGACCTGGACCTGGACCTGGACCTGGAAATATATCTACAGCAGACAGGGAAGGGAAGAAAATAAAGTTGCACATTTTGACCCTAGATTGCTGTGGCGTAGATTTAAGGCATTAGCTAATAACAATCCACTAAAACCTTCCACACAGCTGCAGAATAAAGTCAATAGAAATATCAATCATTTTCATCTAGTGAGGGTTGCTGAACTTTTTGCTGATTTTCTCACAACAACCAGCACAACATAAAGAGAGAACACATATTTCAACTTAAGCATTGTTGACGAGAAAACATCATACTGTGTGTGTCAAAGCTGAAAAGCACTTACAACTTTACCAATCTGGACAGATTTTGATACGATTCTGGAATCTCAGCACCATCAAAATGATTATTGTCGAGTTGGCTGCAAATGGTAATTGGAAAAACAGACTTTAGTAATCATACAGGTCACATTTGTTCACAAAAAAGCAGAGAAAGTGAGGTCATCAACAATTCCTAAGACTTCATTGATCGCTTAAACAGCCTTCTGATAATAACATAAATTATAACAGCAGCTTAATCATGGTTGCATGAACTTAAAAGAGATGCACAAATCTTCATGGGATCAAATTCAAAAATAATAAGTTAAAATAGTCATGGATATTTGTCAAGTGTCAGAAGTTAAATGACATTCTAGAATAGGTTATCACAAAGCTGAAAAGGGAAAGCACGGTCAGCAGAACTCAGGGTAGAGTCAAAGTACTCCAAAAAAAACTTGGTGATAAGAACTTCATGAGAGCACAATATCAGGAAATTTATTCCATTTAGCCATTCAATTGAGATGACAGATCTTGAGGATACAGTGGCTCAAGGTTCATAGCCTTACACATTAGACATTTGATCATTAGATGGAAACCATTGATGTCCTTGTCTATTATTAAACATGCACATGAAATTTCAATTCTATGTATCAGAAGTTCAAGGATACTGTCCCAAATAACCAAAACTAGTTACAAAGACAGCACAAGAAAAAAAAAAAAAAAAAAAAAAAGCAACTATAAACAGTATAAGTGGCTTAGTGCAGGGATAACATACAGTATCTCCAGATGTGCTAAAGCTGAGTACTCAGGAGGGAGGTTTCCAGACAAGTTATTGTTATCCAACAACCTGCAAAAAGGACAATGCATACCTTTAATGATTTGTGATCTTTTAACATAGTAATATATAGATATCAAAAAAATAGTAAAACCTTTGATTCTACAAGCATTACTGATATCTTCTCACAAGTGAGCAATTTTTGGTAATTGGGAAAACTCAGGAGGAAGGTGGCCGCTGAATGAGTTATTGTTCAAATGGCTGCAAATACAAATGTGATTAGAAGATTTGATAGTTAACAATATAGCCATAAAGGAAAATTCAAATTAGCGTCAAGCATAAATAAAGCTGAAAGGTCAACTCACAAGTGTTTAGCATTGACCATGTTGGCCAAGGACTTCGGCACTGCGCCAGATAAATTATTTTCATCTAGTTGGAGTCTGTCCAGATTTACCAAAAAGCCAAGTTCATCTGGAACAGAACCTGAAAATTGGTTTCCATTCAAAAGCCTGAATCACAGAAATAATACATTACATTATTATGGAAAATACTTGGTATTTAACAGTTAACAGAGTCTTGTATACAACAATTTTAGTGACCCCGAAGTACATAAAAGTCACCCCTTAACAAAGTAAGTTGGCTTTTATGCAAGCTTTATGAGAAACTATAATGAAGGTTTAGAACTTACAAATGCGTCAAAGATGAGAGATTTCCTATCTCCTTAGGAATGGTGCCAGTTAATTTATTCCACATGAGATCTCTTAATTGATTGAAAACAAAAGACCGTATAAGTAAGAGATCAACATAGAAATAGTCAATATATAATTGTTGAATAAAATTATTAGCAGACTCACAGTATCAGCATATGAGTGAAGTTGCCAACTTCAGGTGCCAAAGTTCCTGAGAGATTCATGTTGAGTAGTTGACTGCAAGCATTATTATGCCAGTCTTAGCACAGAAAGGAGTTATTATAAGAAAGAAAGATACAAGGAAAATCAAATAAATTACATACATCTCTCGGACATGGAAAAATCCATCTGTCTGAAGTTTACGGAAGCACAAAACACCATTCCAGTGAGAAGTACAGGGATCTCCCTTTTTCCAGTTAACAAGGTGTTTCATTGGATCAATCAGTTTGCTTTTGATCGACTTTAAGGCCGCGACTGCATGGGTTACATTACAGAAGCAACTGTTAAATGTTAATACATCACTCTGATTTTAAAAACAGAATAAAGATAGAAAGAAAAAAGGTACCTTCATGAGGATGAGTAGATTGTGCTGAGACATAAATTGGATTGAGGATACAAAATATGACGAAGATTTCAATCGCAAGTCTCATTCCGAGCAATAACATTCCACAAGAAAAGGGCTCTGAATCAGATAATATCTGAATTTTCTTTTACAGCTACAGATTAAGTTTTAGACAAACACAGACAGAAAAGCAATGCAAGGAAGAGTCATCCTTGGCTGTCCCTGTCCCAATCAATATCTGAAGCTGACGCATTCAATTTATTATCAAATTTCTAACGTTGAACTATCTGCTGTATCTCATGAATACTAGTAACCTTTGAACTATCTACTGTATCTCATGAATATATTATACAACTAGTAAACTATACTTACATACATACATACATACATACATACATACATACGACCAATTAATATTTGAATCAAAAAATGAAGAGAGAGATGATGGGTTGATGGGATTAGGTGGTGATCGAGAAAATAAAAATAAAAAAATGAAATCCCAGAAGCATCGTTTGCTTTCCCAAACAAGTAATAGTATAAAAATAATACACTCACAAACTATAATCTAAATAAAGTTGACATTTTTTTTAGAGCATTCGGAGCGCCACGTAAGAAATACATTTATTTCGACCAATAAGAAAGATTTGTATTTTATTTTTGAATTACAAAATTATATTTGTAATTATTAGTTACATTGTATTTATTTCGGATACTTAACAATTATTTGTTTATGTAATGGCATACGATTAGATGTTGTATACTTAATATATGGATGACTTTGGTTATTTTTGGAAATAATGAAAAAATTCCAATGCATAGATTTGATTTTATAACGCAACAATTTTTCATTTATTGATAAATATATTGATTTATTTTTAAATGTAAAAATTTAATTTATATCAATTTTCAGTTTGGCTAACATTTCACGGTTCAATTTATCCATTGATGTAGTAGGTTGGTTGTGGACGAGGTTGGTGATTCTATCAAAATAAAAAATAAGGTAAAACAATGAATAATGATTTAGGATTTAAATAATTAAAAAATTACCATTTCACATTAAGGATTTTATATAATGGAAAAAAATATCATATTTACAATTTATTTATATTTAATAAATTCATTATAAATTATAGTAAAAAAAAATATTAAACTTTTGTAATTTTATCTGAAATTATTAAATATAATAAATTAAATAAATAAAAATCTTAGACGAAAAAACCGTACATTGCCCGGACTTCATTTAATTAAGTAATAAAAGTATACAAAGATAAGAGTAGTTGATACCAATATTAATTTTCTATTAATAAGTAAATCCAAGATAAGATGGTGACATTCATTTCTTGCTTCTTCCTAGCTACTTACATAACAACCAATTAACAACACTACCTGCAGGTAAGGTTCTTACTGTCAGAGAGTCAAATAAATATAAATAATTTCCTTTTTCTTTTAAATGCTCAATTTTTTAATCATTACTGACCCTTCTGCCAGACTGCCAGTTGCCCCTGCAATCCTGCATGCATTTTGTCCTTTTCCGTACAAGCCGATTCAGCCGCCACTTATGAACGCCACCTTTTTTTTATTTATATAAATTTCCCTGGGAAAAACAAAGCTAGATTTTTCCCGCAAAGATATTAAAATTATGCCTTAAAAACCTACAGAACACAACATCTAATTTGGGACGGAAGAAGTAGTTGGTTATGAACCGATAAGTGGGAACATCCGTACATACATCAACAATCAACATCAAACATCAACGTATCTAGTACTCCATATGATATTTATCTGTAGTCATAAATACTACAGAGGATGCTGCTACATGAGTGAGGTGGCAAATCTACAGTAACACCATAAGCTTTCTTTCATAATCATCAGTTGTCAATCCCTAAAATTCTTTCTCTACTAATCCAACCCAACATTCTCATCAAGTCATTATCATATACAGAAAATATTTGGCTCAACATTAATCTGCCACTAACCTAGCTCTACTGTAATTTTATGACCCAGAGCAAACCCAGCTCACAACGACGATATTAGTGCTAAACAATTCGAAAGAAACACACACACAGATACTGCCAGTAGCTCAAAATATATACTCGCTATATATATGTATGTATATAAGTTCATATTCTACCTCTTTACAAACGTTGATCAACACTGATCTGATGCTATACCTACCATTTTTTTACTAATAGCCACAATAAGGGGTAAGGAACAAAAGAGATGTGCCTTTCCTTGCACTGTCAGGTCAAACCATATCTTATGAAAATATGCAACTTAACTCACTATTCCATATTACAAAATTGACCCGACCTTTTTGGTCTTTTTCTTGGCAGGGGCATCCATATTCTCTGCTTTTCTCTTCAGGTCCGACTTCAAAGCCTTTGATTTGTTCACAAGAGTCTTACCATTTCCCCGCTCATTTTTGTCACCACCAATGTTAGTTAATTGTTTGGCTTCATCTTCAGCTTTAGCTTTCAATCTCTCTACAACAAAATACTTCAACCTTCGCAAGGTGGATTCACTCTGCAAAGTGCCGATCAAACATCACCATCAATTCCATGAAAATTATCCATTTAAAGAGATAAATTGCCCTTATTTCTCCCCATGAATCGTTGTCAATTACCTGAGCATCTATGTCGAGGTCCACCTCTTCTTCGGTTACTTGGAAGGACGGATTTCCCTGAGCAACAATCTCCAAAGCTTTTGTTAGATCATCCGCAGAGAGCTTTGTCAGAGCTCTTCCAAGTTCTCTTTTCTCCATTGTTGACATTCTCCTGAAATACCATGTTCTCATCGTTAACATATCAATCCAAATAAGGAAATCAAACAGAACATAACCAACATGGCAAACTCTTCACTGTTGCAAAGTTGCAAACGCGTGAAATTTATGCCACGCGTGAGAGGGAAGGGACAACCATGGATGAACAAATGAGTATACAGGACTAAACCACCACATGGTACAGGTTCATAAAATTGACTGACCTGCACCTTTGGAGCATGAGTTCTCTAAGTTCATTTAGGCGCTTATCAACCTTGTAAAGCTGCACGCACAGAAAGTGGGAGAAAGAGCAAAATGCAGCACATTAAATATCAAAATTTGAGTCTGGTGAACGAGTACATGCATGTAAGTGAGATAACTACAAGAGCTTCCCACCTCACAGCTTACGTCCTTTGCCATCTGGGCATGATAAGTCTGTTTCAAACCTGCCTCTTCATCCGTTCTTTCTTCCTGTACAAGCAAAATCGGAGACATATACCAATTAAAATGACTGTACGTAACAGCTTAAAACATGTTAATGGGCTGTAATTGAAGCAAGTGGTAACTCAAACAAGAAGCCACAACTTTACCTCTTGCATGATTTTTGGCAAAAGTACAAGCCACTTTCCCTCAAATTTTGCCAGCAGAGTTTTGGCTGTCACATGAGCATCACTCCTTTCATCATTACATTTCATAGCATTCTTCAAAACCCACCTCACATCAGCATAAATCTCTCGAACATGCTTGTAGCCATTATCACCCTTAGCTTCCATTCGCTTCTTTATAGAGTTGAAGTCCCTGGGCTTTCCAATAACTGACTAGAAAAGCAAATGACATGAACAGACACACTAGTAAGTCAAGACCTTTCCTTCAAATTAGGTATTTCTATACTACTTGTCTAAGATATTTAGCAAGAAAAACAGAAACGTCAGGAATCCAAATTTCACTTCTATACCTCAGAGGAATCATGTAAACCTAGATCATTCACATCTACAGAATCCAGAGAAGAGCGTACATCTTTCTTTTGAGTAATCTGGAAAGAAAAACAAAGGATCCGTGAGGCAGAGAACTATATAGTACAATAGTTTACAAACACGTGAAAAGGTTTGAAAGCAAGAGAAGCCACTAGAGAGTATGGTTTATCTGCAATAGAATTTACATAGTAGAATAGAACAAAAGTACAAATATCCCTGCAGATTTTGAGGCTGAAAGTTAACTGTGGTTGGTAACATAAGTAGACAAGCACAACAAATGGAAAATTAAATACAGAGTACGATTTACTTATGCCTATGCTTCTCCTAATGTAAAGCAAATTAACAAAACGAATGAATGAATTTTCTAGCAGCTGAATCACAGCATGCATATCAAGCCTTTACATAAAAGAGAATACTAAATCAAAATCCAGTTTATTAAAAGACCTAAATGGAGCATTAATTGAACAAGTAATATTAGAACTTCAAAACACCAATCTAAAGATGCAATTAAAAAGGGACCTCAGTTATTCACATGATGATAATGGACATAAAACAAAATACCTGATTCAAAATAACACCAAATTGCCTGATGAGGTCCTGCATTCTCTTAGCTTTGGAATCGGGATGATTTAGCCTAGTCGTTACATGTCTCCCTCTATCTTTATAATCCCTCGGTAGATTGTTTCTAGAGTCTATAATTTGCTTTTTACTGTTGCTGGAGTAGAATTGTTCAATCTCATTTATTTTTTGCTCTAGCTGCAAGTAATTCTCAGTGTTATTTTAGAAGCATATTGCAAGCAAATATTATAATTACACCTAAAAAATAAAGTTGAATATCAAACAAAATATACAGAATTTAGCAAGTAAGATTCGTGATCAACTGCCTACAATTAATGCAATAAAAGAATTAATGGAATGATAATGAAGCGGGAATTAGACAGAGCAAAATTCAACACAATATTAGTAAATGAAAGAATTAACCTTGTCAACTTGAAAAGAAACCTGATTCACATGATTTTTGAAATCTTTGAGTTGATCATCATTTTGTACAACATTCACATTTGCAGGAACCTGAGACCCAGAATTGTCCATTCATGCAATTGATCATAGTAAGTCAAAATTAGAAGTTTATTTAATTTCTGATAAACATGACCAAAATTAAAATAAAACCATGAATCATAAGCCAAAAGGGGTAAATTCAAGTTTCTCTCTGAATAAATTAGCATATCATGAATAAATTAAAGGAAACTGAGAAATCAAAAAATTAAAATCATTGGAAACTGAATATATTAAAAGCAAGAAGATGTATACAGAATCAAAAATTCAAAGAAAAGAAATTACAGATTACAGTACAAATTGTACCTTGAAAGTAGCGGGGGGCTCCATAAGAATCAATTAAAAACAAGATGAGATTATACTGTAATTGAGATTGGAAGATCGAAGATTGAAGAACATTAAACCCAAAATTCTGAATTTTAAAGAGACAAGATTGAATTTAGAATTTCTACTCCTTTGTCCTTTCCTCGAGATACCATCATCATCACAGATGCTTTTTTTTTTTTTTTTTTTTTTTTTTTTTTTTTTTTTTTTTTTCCAAAAGTTAAAGAATGATAAACCCTAATTTACTACGTAATAACAAATTGTTACACCTCGGTTTCCCTCGTCCTCACCTTACAGCTTATAGCCTTATACTATGGAGTAAATAACTTAAAAACAATGTGTTGAATTTAATTACTATACTCATCGTAATCTGTTCTTATGACTCTTTAAACACAAATTTTGAAAGAACACAAGTTTAGATTGACTAATTTAATCACATAAACGTAAGCACCGAAAAAGTTTGTTTGACTATTACTCTTGTCCTGAAAAATTAAAAAAAAAAAAAAAAATTCCATTGTTCATTGTTTTTTGGTTAAGAATTCTTTAAAACAAAAAGAGTGTTTTAGAGTAAAAAGCGATGTTTGACCATTTTAAAAAACTCTTTAGGACGTTTAGTAAAGAGCAGTTTAAATAGCGTTTTAAAGACAATAAGTTCTTTTTTAAAAAGCTAATAGCTAAGAACTATTCTCTCTGTCTCATTTTGTTTGCATCGTATGATTCACAAAACTCTTACAAATAGTGGGCTCATGTTGCAAAACAAAAAAAAAAAAAAAAAAAAAAAAAAAAGAAAGACTAAGGGAGTGCTTGGTAAGCACTTTTACACAAAAAAGGCAATTACAATCCGTTAGATAAAATAGCTAATGCAAACAATTACCAGCCAACAATTAAGCGAGTTCAGCCATTCAAGGCAATGAATTATCACAGGAATTCTCTTCCTCTCAAAATTACAAAATAACGACAGACCCACTCATAGATTTGTATGAGACAATGAATAAAAAATGTGTCAAACGGTTATATCTATATTTTTGGATTCTTAGCCCTTCCTTAGAAAATTTTTGTTTAGATTTGTTAAATTTGTTTTCATTAATTATCAATTATAAATAATGTATGACTTCAATTAATGAAAATTAGTGTACTTTGAGTTTAATTTAAAAAAAAAAAAAAAAAAAAAAAAGAGAGAGAGATGTTAAACTTGGTGCTTGAAGTCTTAAAAAATGGCGTTGATTATAGCGTGATCCTAATTGTAGGTTCAATGTCATGGTTACGTTTCCCACTTTCTCCACAGCCCAATTGCCCCAACCAAATGCATACTATGGGCTGCTTGTTGCAAACATGAAGTTAGTCCTGGAACTTCCTTTTAAATATTTGATATACACATTCGTAATCTCGTACAGAACTAACCAAAACTAGATAAGAAAGAAGAACATAACATTTTTACACATCGATCACTACCACAACCTAGTTCAGCAAAGTGCTATCATATCACTGCTCATTGTCTCACATTTCACCTTCACCTTCCATGAACTATTACTTGGGGTGCCAGAACATTCCCTTGATTCCCTCTGGATCTGGTTCAAATCCTAAATTTTGATAGAAGTCAACAACTGCAATGAACATAAATATGTCAATGTCAGAATTCATGCATTTAGCTACAAAAATAAGTCAGATACAACATTAACAATATCCCAAGGAAGACTTGAAAAGGGGAAGAACAAATTATCCTTGTTTCACACGATATCTTCATGTGGAACCACTTTCATAGAGCTTAGCTTGTCATTGTGGACAGTAAATGCATATCTTTTCAGTGTTCGTATAATGAAAATATTACCTTTACTATCTGCAAAGAGAGAAATGTTGCCAATATCCCTCTGTAACAGAGCCCTTATCATCTTCTCCACAAGAGCCTTTCCAAGCCCTTGACCCTACATCAGAACCAGACAGATGGTGTACTGTTATGCACCTAAAGTACAGTGTCCAGCTTCCGTCAGGAAACACACACACACACACACACACACAAACAAGCCAGTGACACAACAAATTTGTCCGCCACACATCAAGGAAGGTTATGCAAAATGGTTCAGGCTCAAGGAACCTCAATTGCTATTTGATAACCATACCCACCCCGCCCCAGCCTTACAGATAAAGAGATTAAGCTTTTTGCAATGAAAATGCATGATCTGATAAAGTGATAAGTAAACACGTAGACCTGGTCACTCTGAATCTTGCACATATTAGAACACTAACTTGCAGCAAAGCTAAATGTCCAGATAAATTGCATGCATAAACCCACATCAGGCTGACATTCTGAGACTTCTCTAAGGACCTCGTATGCAAATGGCAAGACAAGCTATACTCCAGTAACACAAACAACTAATTCAGTAGCATACAATAAAAAAAAATAATAAAAAAAAAGGCACAAGCTTTATTGCACAAGCTATGCATGATTTTACTTCTATGTTCAGCAAATACTTGCTGAAGCCAAAATAAAATAGTAGTGAATTTTCCTAGTCAAATGTTCAAAATTTTATCTTAATATTGATAAAAATATATATAAGTATAAATTTTAATTGACTAGTTGGAAAATTGCAACCTAAGATAAACAAGTTTAGTGGTCATCTACATAATTTTTTCAAACAAAAAAACATATATTTGAGCAAACAATAGTCAAAGATGAATTTTGCAGAACTCAAGAAATTAACCATGACAGTTGACTTATATTCAAGTTTGGTACAGCTTGTACAAGATTGCTTACATTCACAGTTTTGCTCTTTTAGTCATATAAGACGGGGGAGGGATATGTTAGCAAATTATGCACAGCTTCATCCTCTTGATGATTCCGTTACACATATAGTATATAGCTTGAGAATTTTACAGAGATAATCTGTGATGTAGCTAGCCAAGTCAGACACATTTGTTTAGCATCTACAAAATTCTCCCCTTGTCTTTGGTGATTAATATGTTGTAGATAATAAGAAAGCACCTAGCTCACAAAAATTTGAAAATTGAACACCCTTCCAACTCAACCTTCCCCATAGTAGTCTAGATGCATGCAGATAACCACATTAATAAATAAATCTCATTTAATCTCCAGTCAAAAGATACCTGGTAAGATGGATCAACAAGAACATCCCAAATTGTAGCATTGAAGGCATGATCAGAAGTAGCACGAGCCATTCCAATGAGCGTCTTGTAGTCATCACCTTCTGTCAGATAACTTTGCACAATAGAATAAGATGTCCATCATTTACTTATACAAAGAAGTGGGATAGAGTAAGGGTATTGGGGGAATTATGCACAATTTCCACCCAATATATAGCCAACTTTAGGCAGGGTCAGGTTGTTAGAAATTTGAGATGCATCTACAAGTTACCTGCGCCAGGTGATTTACGAACAGAATGCAGTGTGGCAACCATATAGCTATTTTTCAAAGCCGCACCAAGTTTTGAGAGTGGCCTACGGGGCCAACCTACCTGTCGAGGTGATAGAGTACGGTCAAGCAGTGAATTTACTCAACAGATAGTTTAATGGTAGCCAGTCAAAACATACTCACTCCCTGACAATTACTATTCTTTTGTGTTTAGCTATAATCCATCCCTCTAGGAAATTTTTAAGAAAAGCCCCACAATCACCTTATCACATAATGCCTGTAGGTCATACAAATCAACATCTCCACCAGAAGAAAAGATTATTTGTTCAACAGACCCATCTGTTTGAGATTTTTCAGCAAGCACAAATTCTTCAGGCAAAGGCTCTTCCTCTTCTTCAGTAGGAATTGTTGGTTCAATAACTTGTGTTGTATTGTTTTTCAAGATTCTGTAACAGCAAGCATGTTATCTACTTATTCAGATTCCATCAAAGAAAACATAACTTAAGCATTAAGGGAGTAGGTATCACACCATCTCCAATCACTCAGCAATACAATTTACTCCCTCCATCCCCAAATAGAAGTCTTATTTCGTCCACAAATCATGTCCTTAATTAGTCTCAATTCACCTTTATGCTTTATCTATTCACTTAAAATCGACAAAGCCCTACCATCATCTTTTTCTATCCATATTTTATCAACTAAGCCCCCCTATCTATCACCATATAACCAACCAAGCCCCACTATTATACACCTTTCTAACAATGTGAGCAAAAGGCAAATGAAACTGTTATTTGGGGACCAGGGGGGGGGGGGGAGTATAATTAAAGAAATTCCTCTCTGAAAGATTTCATTACAAGTTGCAATTTTACGCAAAAAAATTTATATAATAATTTGACGAGACATATGTGCTTCTAATATGTTGTTATTTTGGTTGGCTCTCAATGTGCTTTAAGGGTATATGCTACTTGTAAAAGTATTAAGTTGAAAGGGGAGAAATATCGTAGTTAATTAGGAGAATTATCTAAGAAGGAAATGTGCATGAGGGTTTCCTTAATTGGAGTTATTCCAAAGCGACCTCACTTACTTGAGTGTTTCTAGAATACAGGTGTTCCCCTCATCTAATTAGGTGTTAAGAGAAGGTCCTTCCTCTTCCTCTATCAATAAAAACTCAACATTTTTTTAAAACATACACAAGACCCAAGAGCAAGAAGCTGGTAAAAAAGAGCTAACAATGGAACAATAATATGGTTCCATAAGAGTCTTAGAACACAATAGTAGAACCTAGGGACATAAGCTTTCTTCATGGGCCTCCCTTATCTTCTATTGTCGCGCATCGCATCATTTAAACCAACCTTGGTGCATACGCATTATTATCTATATCCAATATACATACAGTTGCTATGATCCTACTCCAAAGAAATACTAGCAATTCATTTAATCCTTTCCTAGTCTAATCAAACATTCAACATTACATCATAATCTGTGTTTCTAATTGAAAGGGCTTATCATGTTAAAGAAAGAATGAAATTGAGATGGGAAAGAAGATACCCAGATCGGATGGACTCCCAAAAACTAGCCTTGAGCTTGAGGCTACAAAATCGAAGCTTTTTGGTTCCTGCAGATTGAGATCAAGAATTAAATAATTGAATAACTTAAATGAATCAACCAAGTAGTTGGAAAAAGAACCTGTAGTGGAGAATCCATAATAATAATTGGGATTGGGATTGAGATGAGAGAAGAAGAGTTGTTGAGATTGATTAAGAGCAGGAGCCCTGCAACAAGATTGAAGGAAAACGAAAACCTCAGCAAATTAGAAAATATACCCAACAAAATAGAAAAGAAAAGGGGGGCATAATACCGAGAAGAAAGGGAAAGGGCAATTGAAGAAGAAGCGTGCATTATTGCTCAGTTGTTGAATGTTGAATGTTGAGGAGGAGGATTACAGTGAGTACAGAGCTACTGTGGTAGTGTCTGTGTGTGTAGCAGACTCTTTGATAACAACACGCACGCTTCAGTCCTTCATTCAATCCTTTACTCACCCATCCTCTAACTCAATTCCTCATTAGTCATTACTCCACCGGGACGGTCGGGACCCTACAATTTTTTTTTAAACCCTTTTGTATTCTAAAAATTGCCCCTTTTGCAAAACCGTTTTGAATGTGAGAGTTTTTTTGGACTTATTTCTACTTTAGTTCAGTTCAATTCACTGTAATTAAGTTAGAATAGTCCAAAAAAACATGGTAATTGTTTCGGGGATTAGTTGTAGAGACATAGAGTAGAGGTAAATGGAAATTCCAATAATTTAAAGTTTCTCAGATTTATATAACATTTAAACATTTAGCAACCACAAAACAATACTTAAAGTTATTATATGAAATGATATAGATTTTTTTTTTTTTTTAATTTTAAATCTAGTCTAATTTGGTATAATTTTGACAAAATAATAAGAGTTTAAATTATGTTGAAAAGGACAAGTGAGTACACACAAGTGCATTAGGAAATAATTGTTGTAACCATGAAATTAATAGAGATTATTGAAATGCTTGATACTCATTTGAAGATCTTACTTAAGTTGAGATGTGTTTTACGATTGCCTATAAGCTTATTCTGCCACCACCAATATGAGATTCTCAAGGACGATTGTCCTCCAAAGGTAACACAACTACCTTCCGGCACCCCTTTTGAAAAGGTGGAATTATTTCAAGAAATGTTCATATTTCTAGGGAATAGTTTGGAAGAATACATGAGTTCAGGGATTTCCTCTTTTTTTTTTTCTTCATGTTAAGGTTCATTATGTTTCTCTAATCAATTATTATTATTTTTTTAAAAAAGAGTCATGTGAGCACACAAGCCTCCACTGCATCTTACGCAGGGTGGCACTGCCAGTGAGCTATAGCTTGTTCATGCCACATAAAATTAAGTTTTGCCTAGTGAGCTATCACTTGATCAACCTTGAGAGTAACATTCTTCGCTTTGCATTACAACTCCAACAAAGTATGTGATGAAAATTTTGCTCTCAATTGAACATATAATACTACGTAGTACGTAATATAAAGGAATATAAACCCAAAAGGCCAAAATGTCTCATATATAATTGTATGATCTTTTAGTATTATAAATTACAATCATGCATGCATCATATATTCATGTCTAAGTGTAAGATCTAAGCGTTAGCAAGTTACTTCATACCGAGTATGAGACATGACAAACATTAACTTGTAGTTCTCATCTCAGCACATATACTTTGGCAATTGAAATGGAAAATGGAAATAGCCTAATAGACATGACAAATGACAAGCTATAAGTTGAGGAGTAAACCCAAAATAAAAGTAAGAATCTTGAATATTAGTAGAGTAGTTAGCTTGTTGTAATTAGATGAGAGGCAATAGAGTGATTAATTAAGCATTTATTGGGATCCAAAAAAGGTAGAGAAGAAGGGAAGGCGTGAGATTAAGGAAGGAATTTTTGGATCATCCCTAAAAATGTAAGCAAAAAAGAAGAAAAATGGTTGTTTGGTGATCCAGTCAACAACAAAAGAATAAAATAATTATCCATAAAGATTAAAGGGACATTGCATGTGTACTTTCCCATTCCCATACCCATACCCTTAAATATTAAAGACATCCCCACACACCCATAATTCACTTTCACTATTATTTTCTTGAGTTCCGGAGCTCCCTCTCCCTACCTTCACACCCTTTGTCCCCACTCTCCATTCCTTTTCTTTTAAAAAAAAAATACAAATGATTTGTCAATAATCCCTATAAGAATTTTTGTCTTAATAATTATTTCATTTTCCGATCTATTAATTCTAGGAGAAAATAGAGCTACACGCGAGGAGACTGTTATATAATTCTCCCTTTATTTTAAAGATGATTTATAAGTAATAACATATTTATAAAACAGAATATGTAAAGATGATTTAAAAATTAAAATCGATGACATGTTGTCGTAGTGGCACAAACTCTAAGTAAAATTTGAAAGTGATTTGAGAGAAAGAAGAATGTGGTGGGGAAGGTGATAAATGAGGCAATAAATAGGATAATAATGGGATGTAATTGTGAGACAAAAAGCTTCCAAAGTGAAATCAAAAAAAGAGAAAGCAAAAGCAACAGTCCACCCTAGAACGACAGTCAGTCAGACAGAGACTAGAGATTGAAGAATTGAAGCTCCAGAACATACAAACAAAGATTTTCCCATCATCATTTCCTCTTTCTTTTCAATACTACAGTTTAGCCCAAAGAAGAAGAAAATAATGAGTATGAAATGATTGAGGAAGGAAAATAGAGAAAGAATTATTACTTGTATTAAAGAAGAGCAAACTCAAAAATGGTAGCAGAAGACAAACACCAACTCTCTCTTCATCCTTTACCTGATTCCAAGCTCTGCACTACTTTGAATAACCGGTAAATTTCTGAATTTCTGATTAAATTCATGTTTCATGTTATATTACTTGAAAATATGATGAGTGTGATCTCAACAATAATATTATTGCTGTATTCATGGTCATGACCTGTATGTTATGATTACAACATTCGTGATATTCTTTCATTGCTGCTAGCAGCATCTTTCAGGACGTTGCTGGGGACATTACTGTTCTCGTCGATGGCGAATCCTTTCTACTGCACAAGGTCAATTCTCCTAGTATCACTTCTTTTGTTTCAGCTTGCTATCTATCAATATTAATTTCTGTCAGCTACTGTAATCATGTACCGAGCTGTCTGACATGACTCTACTGTTTGGTTTGTGGATTTATGTTATAGTTTCCCCTAGTCACTCGAAGTGGCAAAATCAGAAAAATGATTGCAGATGCCAAGGACTCGAAGGTCTCCAAGTTGGAGCTTCACAACCTACCAGGGGGTTCCCAAGCATTCGAGCTCGCTGCCAAGTTCTGCTACGGCATGAACTTTGAAATTACAGCAGGAAATGTGGCCTACTTGCGCTGTGTTGCTGAGTACTTGGAAATGACAGAAGACTATCACCAAGAGAACCTCATTGCAAGAACGGAAGCTTATCTTGATGAGGTGGTTGTTCAGAGTATTGAGAAATCTGTAGAAGTTCTCTCTGCTTGTGAGTCCCTACCTATTTCCATGGTTGAAGAGGTGGGAATTCCAAGCAGATGCGTAAATGCCATTGCATCCAACGCGTGCAGAGAGCAGCTGGCTTCGGGTTTTTCACATGTAAGTTGCCATGAGGATGACTCGGCAGAATTAAAAGAAGCTGCAGGCTACATTGAATGGTGGGTTGAAGATCTGTCTGTACTGAGGATAGATTTCTATCAGCAGGTCATCTCAGCTATGGTGAAAGCAGGTGTTGATACTTGCAGTATCATCGCGTCTTTGATGCATTATGCACAAGAATGGTTAAAGGGCATTGGAAAACTTCAGATATGGAATCCAGCAAGGTTAAGACCACACTGTGGCACACAAGAGCATGACCAGAAGGTGATTATTGAGGCTCTTGTTGATCTTCTTCCAACAGAGAAATCGAAATCTTCACCAATTCCTCTTAGTTTCCTGTTTGGTCTATTAAGGATGGCAATCATAGTGGATGCCAACATCTCCTGCAGGCTTGAGCTGGAGAGGCAGGTTGGTTGTCGGCTAGAAATGGTTTCTCTTGATGATCTGCTTATCCCGTCTGTTCACAAGGGAGATTCCTTGTTTGATGTTGACACAGTCTGCAGAATTCTGGCAAATTTCCTTCAGCGGATGGAAGACGAAGAAACTACTGAAGATCAAAGTGGGTATGAATCTCAAGGTTTTGGCTCTCCCACCCATGGTTCTCTATTGAAGGTTGGACGCCTTATTGATGCATACCTAGCAGAAATTGCCCCTGATCCTTACCTGTCACTGCAAAAGTTCACTGCTATTATTGAGGCTTTGCCGGATTATGCCCGAGTCATTGATGATGGGCTTTACAGAGCACTTGACATCTATCTCAAGGTACTTCAGATTACAAAACTGATGCTTTTTTTTTTTTTTTATCTCTGGACCTGTCAAAAAATAATTTGCTTGTGCAGGCTCACCCTATGATATCTGAAGATGAACGCAATAAGTTGTGCAAATACATTGACTGCCAAAAGCTCTCACATGAAGCTTGCAACCATGCTGCACAGAATGATCGGCTCCCAGTTCAAATGACAGTGAGAGTTCTCTATTTTGAGCAGCTTCGATTGAAGAATAGCATGTCCGGAAGTTCAGGAGATGCACTGTTCTCCCAAAAAATTAGCAGCGGCATCCCAAGTGCTGCAATGTCCCCCAGAGATACGTATGCATCCTTAAGGAGGGAGAATCGTGAACTGAAGCTTGAGATCTCAAGGTTGAGAATGAGGCTCAATGATTTGGAGAAGGAGCAGACTTGCATGAAACAAGAGATGTTGGAGAAGTCGGGAACTGGTAGGACATTCTTAACTTCACTTTCAAAAGGAATAGGGAAGATTGGGATTTTTAGCACTCCAATGGGAAACAAGCGCCAAAAATCAGGAAGGAAAGGAAAAACTGCACGTAGTCGAAGGCACTCGGTTTCTTAGGATAATCAGATGCTGCCTCCGGGTGGAATACAGTGAACAGAAGATAAAGCCATGGAACTCGAGAAAACGTCAAGATGTATCAGGTCAAAATATATAGTACTATAATTTAGCATATCTGATAAATACTTGAGCACTTTACCTACTTCATGCAGCTTCTGTATCCAAAATGCTAAGGCTTTGGCATCCTAATAAACACCAACAGACCTTGGTCATCCAAACACATGAGCTTGTATGGTGTATACACCAACAAATTAGTAACTGTCATGATTTACAGAAGGGAAAGCATGCTCAAGTATCTTTTCTTGTCTACTTAAAGTGTTCGAGCCTTGCAGACAAATCGGTATTTGAATATACTTTCCTGCTTCTGAAAGAGAAATTTAAGGCGCATAATTTTCAACAAATCAGTAAAATTTTAATACTAAAGTATTGTATTGTATGTTGAATGCTCCAATTAATATCTTGCTTCCTATATGTGCTTAAGCATCATCCATAGACTAATAAAATGGATTATTCTGACAAGCAAACAAATTCAATTAATTGCCTTGAACTCAGACTAATTATAATTGCCTCTACATAAAGTTCAACAAAAAATCACACGAATTTCTGACTTTACAGGGAGTTTCTTGATAAGACCAGGCTGCCCTAAGCCTATGATCAGTAAACAACAAGCATCGAAAGACATGCATTATACTAAACTTATCTGCATTTTAATTGATACATTTACATCTCTTATCAAATTTGTCCTATATTTTTCATCCTCTAATTTACAAATGTAGAGGTTGATCAAAGGGGCTAAATTCACCAAAGTGAGGATTCCACTATGAATCTATGATACTATCATGCTCGTTTCTTTTCTTACAGTTTGCTTTTGAATACTGAATCATCTGTATGCTGCTCCTGTTGTACAATGTACAGGGCACCCGCTACACTTAACGATTACACAAAGTTAAATACCAATAACAACCTGTGTCCCTGTTGTAGGGAATATAAACCCTATGCCCCTTTTCCGAATGAGCCTTTAACTCAAGACTGCAGAAAGTTTTAACCATCTGAACTCCCATTACATGCTCAAGTGCATATTGTATTATTGTACTAACACACTTGTTTTCATTTTCTTGAATTATCTCTAAGAAAAAATCATCAAATAACTGACTAACTCAACAATAAATCAAAGCCGGTCCATCAAATAACTGACTAAATTATAGGCTTGGGCAGCTTGGTCTTATCAAGAAAATACTTGTAAAGTGAGAAATTTGTGTGATTCTTGTTGAACTTTATGTAGAGGTAATTATAATTTGATAGTGAGCAAACCATTAAGCCTTTAAACAAATCAAAAAGTAAGAACCAAAAATAGCTTGAGCTGGAGAACTTTGCTTGTCTCACTGCCTCTTTTCCTTTTGCTAGGACAAAAATAAAATACAGGAAAGCATGGGAGATCTTAGCAAATGGGTGTCTAATTCATTACTGCACAAGCTTGAATTATTGCCAACAGTTTCCTCAAATTGTTGCATCTACAGAGTCCCTGAAAATCTTCGAAAGGTAATAAATGAGGATGTTTATCGACCTTTGCTTGTGTCAATTGGTCCAGTCTACTTCGGCTATGCAAGAACAAAAATTGAGGTACTTGCAATCTTTTCATCAACGATCCACTTCTTACAAGTTAGAAAAATGCCAAAGTTATAAGAGGATGGGAAGAGGTAGTGAGACTATAAACCTACCTATTGAACATTTTATTGAAATTCTGCTCATTGATGCAATATTTATCATTGAGCTCTTCCTGAGGAGTTGTTTCCATGAGTTTATAGATGAAAATGACCGTATATTCAACAAACCAAGGATGATCTTCCATTTTCCATCTTAAGTAGTTCTATATGGTATAAGGTCCGTATATGTACTGACTTTGTACTATGGTCATAGTGAGAAAATAATAATGTTTTATAAAGAATGTACTATAGTTGTCCAAGTATATCCTTATGTAAGGCACTTGGAATCAGTGAGTGCAGTTGTTCCTATATTATGAGGCAATTAAAATTAATAATATTCAGCTTTTGTCTACTTTGCTTTTCATTAGTTACTATTTCTGTTGTTTGTGATACAATAATAATGATCTTGCTTTCTTTACTGATGAATTGAAGACTAAAAATTACATCAGTGAACTCAGCAGAGTTAGCCTATATTTCATGTGATTATGATGTTAGTAGAATTTAATATAGTTTTCAGATTATATTGTTGGAATATATTTCATGTGAATTATATTGTCAGGACTTGGTTTTTAAATTGAGAACAGGAGTTTTGTTTGATATATCTTTGATTAAAAGCATAGTTTGTATCAATAGGTCTATTTCATATTAATTTGGGAAATTCTACATGGTGGCCTCATGGTTTTAAGTTTTCTACGTGGAAGACGAAGTTTTTTTCAGCTCTCTTTAGTGGCACCAAGGTTTAGAAAAATTGACCATAATGACCTTTTTTAGGTTTATGGCTAACTTTTTTTAGTTAAAATGGTCAACCCTCGAGTAAGGGGACGACCTCCCGAGAGAAGGAACAGGCGAGATCGTTCGTTTTTTGAGCATGTTCAACGTAATGGGCGAGATAATCGATCTAGAAGTAGACCACCCCCATCTGATACAGGTGATTATCGATATAATTAAATAATGTTTTCATACATCGTATATTTTAATTTATTTTGTGTAATAACTTAATTATATGTCATATTATGTTTTTTATTTTGTAGGTACCGGGTTCGACATGCGACAATGTAGATACAACTACGCGATTCCCAACATCATGTGGCCTTACGTCGTAGGTGTTAAGGACGTAATTGGAGATGGGAATTGCGGATTTCGTTGCGTAGCAGATTTTTGTTACGGAGATCAGGAGGAATGGCGGTTGGTTCGACATCATATCACAAATGAGGTTGGTTCTCATCCTTGGTTGTATAGCATGATTTACTACGACATATGGGGTCAACAGGTTGGTTGAGGACTGCAGAGGGAGGTAGACCGGATCAGATGGGATGGTGATGCGTGTGGATAGGAGCATTGGATGGTAGCACAGCAGGATTTGTTTGCTATTGCCACAATATGGAAAGTGGTAGTGATTTGTTATGGAGTAGGAAATAGACCATCGTGCTACTATCCATCTACCACTGTTTTACCGTTGAACAATCGTGGACGCTTAGACAGGCCTAGTGCGGAGTTCGTGATTGGAACTGTTGGTGGATCGCATTTCATTCGTTTGCATATGGATCAAGACCACCCACTTCCTCCAATTTCACCAATGTGGTTTAACGCTCGACAGGCAAGTGTACACGGATGTGAGGCAAGGTATGAGAGAAGGCTTCAATTGTGGCAGCCATTAGTTAGCTCTTGAGTACTGTTATGGATTTTTATTAAACTTTATATATTTTTATTAATAAACATGATTATTTTTTTTTAATTTTGTTTAAGCAATTCTTTTAAAAATTTACTAAGTAAGTACTACGTAATTAGAAAATAAAATAATAATATATAAATGTCAACTTGATAATTCTCAACAAATGTGATAAAATATAAATGTCCACTAACAACATCCAAAACATAGTCTAATAAAACAATAAAGTCAAAGCTAGAATACATATTACAGCTAATCTCTAAGTCCATTTATTGTATTCCAATCATTAATCACCTGCTCCAACATTACTTTGGTGTCCCTTGATAGCCTAGGGTACTCACTAAGTGATCGCTGCGTTGTAACCATGAATCGCCCTACCCACTGCACAAACCATTATAATTGTGTATTAATAGAAATAATAGGAAAAAAATAATTAAATTAAAAAAAATACTAACAAAAAACTTACGTAATCAACGTTGGTCCTCTCAGGAAGACCGACATCATCCTCAACATTAGGAGTGACGATAGGATGGCTAACTCTCCCAAACCATGGTAGATAGTCAGGGGCACAAGTATGTCCACCACGTGGAACTCTAGTATATCCACCAAGAAGAAGACTGAACGCAGCACCGGGGACAAATCTATCCCACATGAGAGTGGTCATCTGAGCTGAAAAACTGACCCTATAAGACTTCACACTAAGTGGTCTCTGAGCATCATGTCACCGGGAATCTCCTGTATAAACCCTAACTGTCGAACAACTCGATCGGGCATATATGGTTCTATGATGCCTCGATAGCGAATACATCCAGTAAACATAGTCCTAGGCACCTGTTGTGCAGGAAAAGCACCGTATGGCAACCAACATACCTGCAAATTAGTTATACCTGTAAATCAACTGTAAATAAAATCAATATAAGACAAATAGTAATTACGTATCTACTTATACCTCATAGTCACACAGCTGGTCAAGTCGAGTACGAAAGGACACGAGACGCTGTTGATGCTTCCGCGTCATACCAACATCCCATAACCCTACACGAGCATGAGGGACGTCCCGTGTCAACACACCCTGGTGAGGTCGAAAACATGGAAAGTACTCGTATATCCAAGCCTGTAGAAGAGTCATGCAACCCGCGATAGAATCACATCCATTTCGGGTGGCATGCCCGAGTTAACGATACAAGTACGCTAGTGAGGCTGAACCCCAGGAGTATCTCGTCAATTTCTCCAGGTTATCCTCGATACACAACTCACTGAGAAAAGAAGGGTGAGTACGGGCACCGCTCTTGTCAGTAAAGAGCGTGTTACCCAAAAGGACCCACATGTAACCAATGGCCTGAACCGCCTCCAGCTGCTCCTCACTACGACACCTAGCAATAATCTGGTCAGTATGGACGCCACCGTTCTTGTAGATGGCATTCTGAGTCTTGACCTGTAGCTCCTCCGGAGTCAACTGTAACAACCCACCTACCAATGTCCTATACTGGTCACTAGGGAGATCACCGACAACCATATCCCCATCAACCCGAATACCAAGTATATGGTGTACATCGTGCAACATGATGGTCATCTCACCAAAAGGTAGGTGGAATGTGTTCGTGTCTGGCTGCCATCTCTCAACAAAGGCAGAAATCAGCGGAAAATCAAGGTGGTTGTGCATAATGCTAGGCAGGTGCGACAGCCCAGTCTGTCGTATCCGCGTAGTGGTGGCAGCCGTAAATCGCTCTAGCCAATCAGTCAAATCTCTACACACACCAGCTCTAGTATGACACCGCAAAAAACCGTCGATCTTCCCCATCCCAAATATACCGAGCAACATGGGCCCCGAAACTAGGAATAACGCTCCCATCCTCGGGCCCACCGTCCATCGGCCCCTGAACAAGCCAAGTCGCTGCAGATCGAGGTGGTCGGGAACTCGTAAATCTCCCATCAGGACCTGCGGCTGCTCCTCAGCATCAGCCTCACCCTCAGGTCCATCATCCTCGTACCTCAAACTCAAACTCGAACCCGAACCCGGAGTCCCATAATCATCCACTACCCTGTCGTGCTCTGGTACTGAACTACCTTCCCGTATACTAATCCCCCTATCTCTCCTAATTGACGCGTTAATACCGCATGATCTAGCATGTCGTGGACCAGAACCCTCAACTACATTCTAAATTTAAAATAAATTATAATATTAATAATAAAAACAAAATAGGTGATGCAAACTAAAGAAAACCAATAACTAGTACTACTGAATTTGCATCTTTTAGTTACAAACATAATTTTTTAACTTTTTATCTTTGATGTACAATATTGTTTTTTTTTCTTTGATACCATGATAATGTAAATCACTCTTGTTGCTGCCTAAGCTTAACAAGTAAAAGGCTGCAATGCTATTTGTCCATAAATCAAAAATACCTTCACTACTCATTTACAAGACACCATTAAATTTGAATGTTTACTGTACGTCCATTTGCCAAATTGTGTTTATATATATCTACACTTCAAAGTGTGTGTGTCTATATACATCTACACTTCAAATTCTAGTTTGTCGATGTTGACAGTAGTGCTTGGTTATTAGGGAATTTTAAATTAAATGCACCAAATAAATACAATGGAATATAAAGGGGATAATTTCTAGTTCCTCTACTGAAATCAGATCCTATGCCCGGCAGCATAATTCATATCATGCTTCTATAAAATCCATTACCACCTCATATGGCCAAAAATAATCACTGATGATACATTTTGGAAATAACATAGTAACAACAGCAATTATAAACAACAACAACAGCAATTATAAACAACAACAATTATAAACAACAACAACATCAATTATAAACAACAACAACAGCAATAATAAACAACAACTACAACAATTATAGAAAACAACATCAATTATAAACAACAACAACAACAATTATAAACAACAACAACAACAATAATAAACAACAGCAACAACATACGAATGTTTTTTTCGAATTATAAACAACAGCAACAGCATACGAATATAAGGCAGAAACGCCCAATTTTTTCAACGGATCTAGGGTGAAACGCCTAGATTTTCGTATAACTGTATGGGTGAACGAAAATTCTAGGCGTTTCAGCCCAGAATTTGCGAAAATTTTGGGCGTTTCCGCCAATTCCAGAAAAAAAATAAAAAAAAAAATATACTCACCTTGTCTCCGCGACTCCTTCGACGACGGCCTTTCCCTTGTCCTTCCTCGTCATTTTCGCGTCTTCCCTTGTACGTGGTGGAGGGTGGGACGTGGTGGTGGGTGGGACGTGGTGGTGGTAGTAGTGGTTGGTGGTGGTGGTGGTGGTGTAGAGAGAGAATTGTATTTAAGAGGGAGAAGAGGGAGTGAGGGTTTTGGGAGTGAGGGAGTGAGAATTGTTTTATTTTATTTAAGGGTAAATTTGTAAAATAAATTTTATTTGCGGGCGTTAGTCAGAAATTCGAGGGCGATATTTAATAACCCCCATTATATTTTATAATAATAAAATTTAAAAAAAAAAAAAAAAACGGTTGAACATAGCCCTACCTCCTATTAACTCTCCTTGTACCTAAGTGGCATATCTTAGAGTTGAAATAAGATATTGTATCAATAGGTCAAGGGTTCAAGGGTTAGTATCAAAAACATAGCCCTACCTCCTCCTCTTGTTCCCCCGTCTCTCTCTCAACGGTCTCCATTGAAGCGCAGTTCACGTTCTCTGTTGAATCGCAGTTCAATCGAGGCGCCTTCTAATACTTGTATCCCCCATTGAAGAAGCTTCTGAGGTAAGTTGTTTCTGTTTGTAATCATCACGTCAATTTCACAAATTAATTGTCAGTGCATTAAGTGTAGGGTTCAAAAATCTGAATTATTGTTTCTAAATGCTAAGATTGTGAAAGGTCATAACCAGCGATTATTTTACCAATATCCCTAAAATTGGGTGACTGAATCAAATTTGGCTGCTAATGTACTGCAAAACCCTGTAATGATAGGATTGAACTATGACATTAGACCCTTTCTCCCTGGGCCCAAGGCGGCCGCCCCTCCTGCCCTGGCATGCAAATATCTTCTTAGTTTGGTTTAGAACTTTACCTTTGAATGTGTTATAATGCATAGTTTATTAGAGAACTTGATTATTAAAGTTTATTTTTGGAGAACTCATTTAATGGGGCTTATTTTGGAGAACTCATTTAGTCAAGCATATCATTGGAGAATTTGCTTTACTGCTTTCTCATCAGATGCCAAAACAAAATCCCAGAAAACTGAATCCTAACCTGAGGAACAATGGAAGTGGCTATCCTGAAGATGAAGACCAAATAAAGTCATCTTCTGTAGTGGGGGATGGTGGAGCAAGCTTGATAATGAAGGCGTTGAAGCGTGCGCAGGAGCAAGCAGCACGTGAAGGGCGAAATGTTAAAGAGGTATGTTTGCACCTCCATAAACTTTTAGGGTCATGTTAATTTTTAGCCAAAATTTTCTCTTATAATAGAGGAAGTATTACTAGTGACATTATATATCATGTCACTGTTGGATTGTAATAGTGTCAAAATTTTCAGGTTTCAGGAGCAGGAAAAAATCGAACACTTGCTGCTTGCAGCAAGAGGCCGAGGACGGTAGACAAGTATTCAGCATTTATTTCGTCTATTCCCAGCGAAATTATGCATCACATATTATCACTTCTTCCTGCTTCAGTTCTTCAGGAGATTGTGAGGTTTGTTTGCAAGGAGTGGAATGCTATAATCACTAACCCGCTCTTTATTAGAGCCCACCTTCTTCAGTCCTTGTCATCTCCTGCTACTACTGGTTTCCTTATTTAAGACCACAAACTGCATGATGCTAAGCTAAAGCGGGCCTTTTATGTTCACCCATATGATCGTGCTATCAGTATACTTAAGCTTCCATTTGAAGCCACAATTTTGGGTTCTTGTAACGGTCTACTCTTGCTTCAAAATGCCATCATTCCAAAAGAATTGTTTGTAGTGAATCTCGTAACTAAAGCCAACATCAGTCTCCCTCCCCTGTCCCTCACCCTGCCAAGGGTATGTGTTCGTCATAAACCTTCTGCTGTTCTAGCATTTGCGCCTTCTTCTGGTCAATACAAAGTCTTATATGCTTGTTTCGTCTCCAAATATGAACGTCCACATCCTGATTATTTTGCCAGATTTGAAGTTAAGGTTATGGCATGGACAATAGGTGTTGATGAAACTTGGAGGGCCATTGACTGTCAAGGCATTACTATGAGTGATGAGGCAAAGAAGACACTAATGAGTAATCCGTTTTCTATTGCAGGGGGGTATATCTGTTGGTTTCATAGACATCACTATCTTGGTTTCGCCTTGGATATAGATGCTGAAACCATGTATCAATTTGCAGGGCCAGAAGATCATGCAAGTGATACTGAGTGTATACCACTTCATACTTGCTGTATACCAATGGACACCGGTGCGGGTATTATATATAGGCAATCCCCTACTAAGTGTTGGAAAGTCTGGGAAATGATAGAACCGAAAACTGGTCCTTGGGGTAGATGTATAAATTTCGATGCAGCTGGTATGTATTCGGCGCTTGATAGACATTTCCATCCTTCAAGGTTTGGAGGCGCTATACCTCTTCTTTTTAGTTTGAAAGCTGGAGAGTTTTGGTTATTTGGCAACGTGAAGTCCAGGCATGACGTGATGAACGTAGCATTGGTTTGTTACAATTGGAAGACGGGGAGTATTTGGTCATCTCCAATTAATTGGCAAATACATTTTTACCGTCCACATCTCCACGTAAACAGCTTGCTATCACTGAAGAATCTCTAGTTGTGGGAACGGCAATCACCGTAAAGAAATGAAGTGCAAGTGTTGTGTAGTTTGATGGATAGATGCATGTGGGGATGGAGACTCAATAATTGATTAGGAAATAAGGGCCCAAATCACATGAAAGTAAGACTATTTGGTGTCAATTTATTTCCCTGGAGTCTTGCAGACACACGCAACAATTACCACTTACAAGAACCTCTACATCGCTATAATGCACTTTCCAAAGCCTCACTTCTCTTCCCTCACTCTCTCTTGTGGCGTTCTATGGTCCATACTTCACCGTGGCACATACTAAAAACATGACAAGAAGCAGTCAATCAATAACATGGCACATTTCTATTTATAAAGTTAAGTGTTGGGCATGGATATGTTTGTTTATTCTAGGCTTGATAAATACATTATTTGCTTCCTTTTAGCAAGCCGAATCAGAGATAGTGCAATTCCAGCTTGATAACGATATCCTCCTGCTTGAACCCAATACAAACTCTATCCGAAAATGTGCTTGCGTATCTACAACGAAAAATTAGAATGAGATAGGAATTCTTTTAGTTGCTACAAAAACATTTGTCACGAGTACAGACCTGAGGTAACTTCTGCTGGTATGCCACAGTCAGACGTGCATCCAGAGTATTTTCACAAACTATCTTTCCATCACGAGAAGCCAACACTACCCCTCCCGAGCTTCCAAATTAAAGACAAGCAACTTAATTAGGATCATAAGCACAGGCAACACAATATATATATATATATCTTGTTGGCCATAAAATAAAGACAAAAGAAAAGATACCATGAGGGACCATGCTCTTGTGAGGCAGAGGGAGGTGGAGGGAGATAGACATCGTCAATGGTAATTGTAGGTGCTTGTACTTTAGCCTTTTCAGCATATTCCCTCTTAGAATCCTCGAGAACGTACTCAACCGCTTTCTTATCCATCTCCCTGCAGCGTAACAGTAAAGAAGGCTCCTTCAAGCGTAGTAAGCCCTGATAATAAACATCAAAAAGAATGCTAGAGTGAGTTTAGCAGCAGTTACAAGATGAAATGAGGTTCTATTCCTAAACAAAACCAATCGAGCTTATAATACAAAAAAGAAATAGGACCTGAACAATCAAGGCTTGGAGAAGCTTGTTGTAGTTGTAGGGATTCTTGTCATCAGAAAAGGCTTGGAGAAGTTTCTTGTAGGAGTAAGCATTGGGGTTGTCGGAAACACGAAGAAGCTCCTTAGAAGCTGCTTCCTTCATGTCATTCACAATCCCATCTTGAGCTTGTAAGAACTTAATCCGCGAGGCATTCAGCTGCATCGAATACTCGCTGCATTGCCGAAACAATCAAACAATAACAACATATTTTCAAGTAAATACTGTAATTTTACATGGAATTGCATATTGGTGCTTACATCTTTTTGCGAACCTCGACTTGCTTATTCTTGCGTTCATAATCTTGTCTAATCTTTTTCTTCTCAGCTTCAACTAATTGTAATTTCTCAATATTGAATTCCTAACAATGTAGCATACATCACCCAAAATCCAATCGTTCATGTATCAAATATGTGCATACGTGTTACATCAAATAAGACAAACTTATTTTCATGATTAAATTAAATAATTGACAAGTAAACAAGTATGATACGAGTAAATAATTCCATGAAGGACTTGAATAATGATGAACGTTGTCCAACCAACTTTGCAAACAAGAACATCTTTTAGAAACGGAAATGATAGAAGGAATTAAAATAAATACGACATTCGGAACAAGAACATTTTTTAGGAACAGAAATGAAAAAGAAAAAACCTCCTCAGTAGAGACAGAGATTTCGTTGGATTTTTCGAGGGCCTCTTGGCGAATGAATTCGACCATTTGCTGAATCTGCTTTGATACGTCTCCATCGTCCATCTTTTTCTTTGTTAATGAAACAACAACAAAAATTGAATTGCGGTAAAATTCTTATAAGAATAAGGAAAAATGGGATCTTGGTTGTGTTATAATAATGTTGTGAAATGCTTCCGAATTGCCGGCAGATTGTTCAACTTTTGAATAATTCCTCTTCCATTCACGCTTACGTGTACCCCATTTCTTTTTGGGCCTTTTTTTTTTTTTTTTTTTTTTTGTTTTCTAACCAACCATCAAATTTTGTAGCCCATTTATTTCTCTTTTTCGGAGGAGGAAACCTAATATTTTTCATTATTCTCCTCTCTTACAAAAAAATTCCTCTTTCAGTCGCCTGGTTATATTATCATTAGAATTTACATCTTTATAAGTACTTTCTAATTTAACTTGGTACTCTGAAAAAACATGTTCAAACAATAAGGGATGGGAGAGTATTATAATAAAATTATTCACGTTTGCAATTCTCCGTTCAAATTGAGCTTTTAAATAGTTACATTTTGAATGTTTACAATCTCCCCTCCATTCACAAATTTACATACATATAGGAAATTAGCACCAAACATGGCTCTCTAAACTTTAGAGCCACATACACACTTAACCACTCCTAAAATTAATTAGGGAACGAAGTACATTGGATTGGGAAATTTGAATGTTCGATCACCACTAAAATTGCCTTGAAGATCACTCCATTGGTCTCCTACATTTCCCCAAATCCTATACCCTAGCTCCATTATTTGCCGGCGAATCTCAGACTTGTACATGACTGCACTCTGTCCTCTATACTCCGGCGACCTAAGCAAGTCCAATGCAATGATTCACATATGATCAAAGTTAGCAACATGTTCAATGGCAACAAGTATATGATCAAAACTTGAAGAAATAATGTACTAACCTCATTATGAGGCGTTCATAGCCAACAAAACCTTGATTTAGTAAATTATCAACAGTAGCTTCGCCAAGGGTCTCTTCATCTCTCCCTGTCAATAAGATCACCTTAAATCCAACTTCAATCAATTTGTTAAACAAATCCAACACGGCAGGAATGGCTGGACTCTCTCCTTTAGAAGCCCAAGTTTTAAACTCCGTTGGGTTATATGGATCACACCTGGAAAAAAAACATTCAAATGTGTCAAGTAAAATGAGACGGATTGAATAATAAAGATTATTGGCAAGTAAACAACAAGGATGGAAATTACCCAAAGCGCTTGGCGCGATAGTAAAAGAGGTTGGAGAGGCAAGTGTCATCGACATCAAAGATCCAAGCATCTAAGGCATCACCAAGGGGAGTAACACCATCCAAATAAGCATAAATTTGATCAATAATCAAGCTAATATCGCGGTAATATTGGCCTCCCACCATGTAGCCTTGGACATGGCGCCAACACTGAGTAGGGATGGTTCGCCAGCCTCTCATGTTGTTAGCTTCGACGGCCATCCTCCAGCTTAGGCAGTAGGCTTCACTACTATTACTACTTGTCCCGTTTATTGTTGCTTGGGCTACTGTCGCTGAATGCCGCTTTCTATGCCTCACTCCTTTCGCCTTTGTCACTTCCTTGGCAATTGTCGTCGAGATCAATAAGAACAATATCATCACTAAAACCTCCCTCTTCCATTTTGCCATTGCTGCAACCATGCATGCCATGTTACAAGTTCGTTCCATGCATTTAAAAATACTCAATGTATATAGAATCTTCTAATGTAAGCACTAACACATATTATACTCAAGTGCTCAACTAGTCAACTCTATTAAAATCAATGCATATGGACTTAATTGGACAAGACCTTTTTTCTCAAAAGGGGCCTTTTGCGTGCAAGTTCATTCCCTTTTAAAATATTTATGATAGATATAGCACACTTACCTTCTATAAAAAAATATAATAGTTAATGCTTAATTAATAATTACATACGAAAGTATGTGAATTGTTGGATGAGATAATTTTATGAGAGTGCAGAGGATTTGAGATGGGTATGTATTATTTATTTATAATTAATAAGTAGACATCTAAAGGACATACATGATAGAGGAATTGAGACAAGTAAAGCCAAAAAAAGGAAGAGGTAGAAAGAACAATACTACTATATTTGAGTCTTAACTCTTAAGTAGTAGTTTGATTAATAAGTTAGGGCATGGTATATTGAATTGGCATGAATTGAATAGGGCACTCAACAAGTGCAGGAGGAGTCAGAAAGCAAAAGGAGTGAAATAGTACTTGTATCATTATTAATTATTATTACTAATGTTTGTTGCAATTGGAAACCCAATACATATATTCCTCATATCAGCCATTCCCATTTTTAATATTTAAACCACCTTCCACCTTCAATTCATCCCCCCATCATTATTCTCATTTTCCACTTACTATTTTTTTGTTTTTTCTTTTTACATGCATGACAAGTTGAGAGCCTTATAATCTTCAAGTGCAACATACAAGTCATACTTGTTGTGATTCTGATGTGTTATATATAATTATAATCAACGCTAACCACTCAACTTTCTATCTATAAACATACTCCATCCATTTCATTAACACACTCTTTTATTGGGCACGCTGATTTTGAAGAAATGTGTATGGTGGGGTTAGTCGTGACATAGCCCCAAGAAAATTTTGTCATACAAGGTATATGGTATCATGATTATGTTATATGGACTTATGGTGTTAGGCTCGATTTTATTCCATTATCACTTTATCTACTTCAAAAAGAAGGCATATTAAATTGAAGAACGCAAGATGAAAAGGAATTATTCCGTAGGAGCATATTAAATTGAAGAAAGCGAGATGAAAAGGAGTTATCCTGTAGGAGCTAATACCCCATTAAAATTGATTGTCCCAATTTAGATCATTTGACCTTGCATCAGAAGCTCAAAAGAGAGATCCAACAAGAATATTTGGACCTGACCTTCCCATATTGCAAACATATAGATGTTTAGTTCAGATGTAATAATGTTAAATCAATTCACATGTGAGTTGAGACTATTTGTTACATAAAAAATTCACTGATAATTGACGACGACCCTAAAGTGACATTTAGTTTATTATCAAAAGCTAGCTTCCAAGGGGCATGAATTCTACCAATTGTTGCACTGCAAAGTGGGGAAGAGTGAGCTTAAGATTTTCTGCTCCTTAATATTTCAAAAAATTTGTATGTCAATGTCTCTCTCTCAATCGAAAGTTGCCACATAGATAGACCAAATTATGTCACAAAATCGAAACACAGATTGTATTTTATTTCCCCTTCGGTTTAGCCGTGAGAATAAGTGCGCTTAGCACTCCCTCCATCATTTTAATTATTGGCCGACTTCAATTTTTTTGTAGAGCAAATTCAAAATGTAATGGATCAATGGGGTATCTTTTTACTATTTCTTTTTTTTTTTTTAAAAGTCAAAGTCAAACCCACCCAATTTACATCATGAAAATGAAATAGACCGGCTAGAAAAACACAAAACAGTAGTTGTCCTTAATTAGGGGTCCATCAAACTAAAAAAGAAGCCTATTTCAATATTAAAATTAATAGTTTATAATGGTAAGTCCTAAAAATTAACAATATCAAAATATTATTGTTTATGTATGATGAATTGATGATTCAGTTGTTCGTCTTTGTGGATGATAATTAACCACCATATTGTCGAATTATCATGTAATTAATACTTATGTATACATTATTATTGATTCATTTTAAGTAATGGATGGTGAATTGAGCCATATAGATAATGGATTAGTGATAACTACTAATTAACTACACACTTTTCTCAAAGAATCCTTTAAGTGTCTCACATGGACTATTTGAGTATATGACCTCATTCTCCCTTTTAAGACTTGAAAGAGAAAATTTATGGGATTGCTAAAATTACTAGATCAAGACATCACAAGCAATAAGTCTACAAATTGATAAAAGCCCAACTCAATTGGACTATACATACAGCTTCTTTTTTAATCAATCCCCTTTGATTTATTAATTTCTTATAGTAGGCTCTTCTAATCTTAGATTTGATTTTCTAAGTTTGAATTGTGCAAGTCAAGAAATGAAGGATTTCTCAAAGTATGGTTTAACTTATTAATTTATTAATTCCACAAATGTTTTGACTTAAACAACACGGCACACGCTATTCGCTACCCAAAACTCTACCGACAACAAGATAACATAAAGTAACAAGACACGATAATGATAAGGTTGATTAAAAATAATCTGATGAGTATATCAATTATTAATCACCAAACAAAGGTTGATTTCTCAAAGTGTAGTTTAGCTGCTTATTATTACCTCCGATCCGTTGGTTGATCTAAAACATTCATGCATTTATATTTTATTACTCCTATGTATTTATTACACATTGTGATAGTGAAAAAAAATGAGTGAATTTACCGCTATACGTACTCTGCGGGTGATTATCTTGTGATTTAGTTATGAAAGTGCTTTTGATTTTAATTCTTCAATGGATGACATATTGACATTCAGAGTACGTTGTAACCTGTCCGCCAGCACCAGCATCTAACAATCAAAAATCAATACAAGCTATCAAAATGTTGTTGACTTGCATTGCCATTAGTTTAGTTTAAGTCTCCATCAAAATTCTTAAGTAGCTAGTGTAAATTTAACAACTACCCATGTACATTCCACCTTCCCGTAATATTGCAAAACCTTTTTAGCTTACTTATTATGCTTTTGGTAACGCTTGCCCCAATTTTAAATCATATCACAAAATTACTTTTACAGTCTATTACAAGGTATGTGACTTGAGTCCCACATCAATCATATGATATATGACAATGGACTCTCCTCCTCTTGAGCTAGCTTTTGGAGATGACTCTTCTATTGTCCTGGCTTATTTTTTGCTCCATAAAATCCCTGAAGAATGGTAAATTGTTAATTTAAACGCATATATCTTTTAATCTGCAAGGGATTTTGAGAAAATTAAGTTTCAAGGGTGAAGCTTGTCTCAACACCTTTTTAATTAACAAGATATAAAAGGTACTTCATATTACATATTTAAAAGTATTTTAAATTTTATAATACTCAGTCCTCTCCTAGTTATTATGTGTTCACTTCCTTTACTTTTATTTTCTCATGTTTATATTCCATATTTCAAGATCTATGCTCTACACTAATCGAATACAACAAATGCCTAGTGTTATAACAATAGTATTTTATAGTATTGCAAATTGGCAACTCCATTATCCCTTATATTTATGTGTGTTTATTTCATAGCTTCATTGTCATCCATACAATAATAGTGATGGTATTGACTATGGAGGAGTGATACTTGTTACCAAACACCAATTAATTAACTAAATGCAATTATTATATTATCATTTCCAATTCAAATTAAAAGTATATGCAACGAACAATAATAGTGGTGTGGTGTGGGTGGTGGAAAGAAGCGAGCGTTTCTTTCCACATACTTGAGAGTTGAGAGCTAGGTGGAGCCGTGGAGGGGGTGGCTAGTCGGTTAACATGATAGGCTTAACAATTCTTTTGGCCATGTTTGACTAGACATATTGTAAGTAATATTAAAATACATTGAGGTCATATTTTAGCTAAGTGGTAAAGTATTTAAAATAAAGTCAATTAATGTTTAAGTGCTTCTTCCACTGCTCAAAAAAAAAAATGTACAAGTACATAGATTTATTACTTGTATAATGGCAAAATATATACTATTTGCCTATTTTGTGTGGGCAAATAAATTTAAATTGAGTTACAAAAAAATAGCATCACTAGTACAAAAACAAAAAATGCACCGCTTTTTTTTTTTTTTTTTAATGGGGGTGCCTTTAACATTTCACAACAGTAAACGCAATTATTTGAAATGAGGAAAGTTACCTATATGGAGTAGCAAAGCATTAGTAACAGATGGATAAGTGTTTGGTAATAAAAGTGTAATACTCTTTTTTTTTTTTTTTTTGAAACCACCTGCGGATAATCATTAAAGGAGATCAATTTCCGCCAAAGTTAATAGACTTTGGGGAAAAGGACCTAAACAAACACGTTCAGTACAATCACTAGTATTCCATCTAGCTACATGGTGTGCTAGAGTATTACCCGCACGTTTAACATGAGACATAGAGAAAGCAACAAAAGTGTAATACTCTTATCCTTGGTAAAAGTATTTATTACTTTAATTAATTTTTGTAAGGTAGAAATTATTTTATTTTTTAAAATACACTAAGGCTGAGGAGTACGTCTTCTTTCAAGACTAAACTCTACCATATCATTGTTAAAAAAAAAAAAACAAAAAAAACAAAAAACTCTACCATATCAAAAGTAATAATAAATAAATAAATATATATTATCCAAGAAAGGATTTATACCTTGATGGATCTGACGAAAATAACAACCTATGACGTAATTTGTTGCGCGATTAGGTTCTCTATAAATATGATAAGAAGAAATTTTGGTGTTGGTATTGAAAAGTGCATTATATCTTCTACTAATCTCTATTTGAGATGTCACTTCGACAACAAAAACTTTCAAGACCAGGCGATTGAAATTTGTAACTTATGTAGTCAGCCATATCCTCTAATGACGACACACACAAGCAAGAGCGGAGCTAGGTTTAAGGTAATGGATCCACTTAAGTTTTGTAAAAAAAAATAAATAAATAAAAAATAAATAAATAAAAAATTAATGTTACAAACATTTAAAAGGTAAAAAAAATTACTAATTTAAATTGAATTATTTTATATGAAAAGCGATATGAAAATTCGAAATAATCTATCAATGAAAAGCACACATATTATTGTATGTGTCAAGTACATATATGCACATAATATATATGTGCAATAAATGTGAAATATATAATATATGATCAATCTATAATATATTACTCTATGTAATTGTCAGTCAAAGTTGTCTTTTAATCTTAGGCTTGTAATACCCAACTAGCACTTTACTTTGTATATACGTGACTCTGCGCATTGAAAAAGGCAAGCAATTCGATCTACTTTATTCCTCTTTCTGTGGTGAGCATGTTTCGTAGAGAGTGTCAAAGACCATTGTGCTTATGGATGCTATTGCTAAACTTGATGATCCCCAATGTGAGTTGTT